CGCAACACCCCCGCCCGGCCCCCCGCACCGGAGGAGCGGCCCCCCGCCGGCTCCGGGCCGCCCCCTCCCCCGGGCCGGGCCGGGCCGGGCCGGGCCCCCCGCGCCTCCCGCCGCCCCTCCCCCACTCCGGAGCCGGAAAGGCACCGACTGCACCGACCTGCCCGCCGCCTCCGGGGCGGAGCGCACAAAGGGGCAAAGTTTGCCGGCCCGCACCGCCGCCGCCACCACCGTCGCGGCCGCCGCCGCCGCCGCCTGGGGCGCCCGCCTCCCGGAGCGCCCGGCCCGACCGAGCTCGGCGCGCGGAGCCCCCCGCCCGGGCCGAGGAGGGGACGGCGCAGGAGGAAGGAAGAGGCAGCGGCGGCCGCGGCGGCAGCAGCAGCAGCAATGAAGGCGTCCGCGGGACTCCCCGCCCCCCGCGCACCGCGGCACGTGCTCGCCCGGGGACTCCCCCGCCCGGGAGGGCGCACACGTGCTGCCCCGCCGAGCCCCGCCGGCCCCGCTGGGCCCAGGGCCGGGCGAGGGTGGTGGTGGTTCCCGCGGAGGGGAGGGGTCGGGCTGGCGGCCCGGGAGCAGCTGGGGGCAGGCTCCGGCCGGGCCGCCGCGTCTCTGCACCTGCAGTGGCTCCCACCCCCGCGGTCGGCCCTCCCGGGACGCGGCCGCCCCCTTCGGGCTCGTCACCCTCGCCCTGCCGCGGGGCTGCAGCCAGGGCTGGCGAGGCGGGGTGGGGCACGCGGACCTAAAAGCCTAGGCCCTCGGCCGAGCTGCCCTCGGTGTCCCCACTTCCTGCCACTCCCTGCGGGCCCGAGCAGTCCGGGACGGCCCCGGCGCCTCCGGGAGGCCTGAGCGCCGGGCCCGACAGACCCCCCTGTCCCGGCTGCTTCTGGCTCGTTCCGAGGCAGCACAATGGGGGACATCGCGCGTTTGCGTACCGAGTCAGCCTGGCCGGCAAGAAGGGGTTGCTTGGGGGCAGAGGCTAAGGGCACTCTTGCGGGGGTCACGGCCGAGTGCCCTGTCCAGGTGGACCCTACGGCCCTGCCATCGCGAGCCTCCCCTGCTCCGCGCTCGGCTCTTTCGCGTCGAAAACAAAGACTAATCCGATACCCCCGCCCTGCCTCCCAGAGGAGGGGGAACGGGCGCGTCGCGGAGGGTAACTGAGGAGGACAGCGTTCAGGAGGGGCTCGGACAGCCTCTGAGGGGGCCGTGGCGTGACCAAGCCCTAAAACCTGGCGCAGACACTTTGGAGAGTCACCCTGGGCTATGTTCCAGGCAGGGGGTAAGGAGCAAGGCTCATGAATATTTCCAAGTTGCCGAACTGCCGGTTCTCTCTGCTGCTTTTTTCCCTCACCTGTTGTGCAGGCCAAGTTGAAATTCCAGGTTAGATTAATTCAGCCCCACCCATCTGGCCTGACTGCCAGGCCGCTGCCTGCAACTGCCTTCCACCTACCTGGGTTGCAGGGGAGCAGGGTGGGTCTCTGACACACACGCGTACACACACTTGGGCGAGTCCTGGCAGAAACAGCCACAGGACGGACTGGCCTGACCAGTTTGGGTGGTGCTCACGGAGTCAGGTACCTGGCAGGCGTCGCCGCCAGGCTGCAGCTAACAACTCAGCCAGAACTGGAAAAAGAGCATTCGGCCGGCTATTTAGAAAGAAAGAAAAAAAAAGTAACTGATCTGAAGTAGCGCTGTCCAGAAAGCCCTAGGCGGTAAAGCAGTCCGGGTTCTGTCCGGAACGTCCCTCTGATTTTGACAGCTTGCTCAAGGATCCAGGTTGTCAGCGAAGGTTGGGTGGGGGTGGACATGGCTACGATACCCGCTTCCTACCACGGCCTTTGAGAGGATTGAAGAGTTTCTATTCAGGGTAGTAAGACTACCCTGAACCAAGACGAAATACCAAGAAGAGTGTAATTTTCAATCAAACAGGGAAACAGGCTGTAGACTCATAATTGTTTTTAATGTAATGTATTTTTGATGTTATAAGTAATTTAATTTTAAGTGTATACAGAAAATGTGAAAAATACAGATATAAGAGGGAAAAATTACCAAATTACAACCATATTTAACCATTTGCTCTATTTCCTTGCAGCCTTTGCCATATGTGGATTTACTCGCACTGATTTTACAATTTGCCATCCTCTTAACATTGTACCATAAGCATTTCCTTATTTGGTATACAGTCTTCAGAAAGTGTGACAGTTAGGTGAAGAAGGTGGCTCTGGAGCCAGAGAACTCTGGCTTCCAAACCTGAATCTGCCACTTGGTAACAGTGTGACCTTGGACTAGGTACTCCATCTTCAAGGGAATCCAAGTAAAGGACTTAACATAGGGCTCAATGAATGACAGCAACTAATATTGTTTAATCCATATGACAACCTTGTGAGGTAGGTAGTATCATCAAAGCCATTTTATGGATAAGAAAACAGATTAAGTAACTTGCCCAAGATTACTTGGCTAGTAAGTTGTGGACCTTCAGAGGAGCTCAGCAGCCGTCCTCTAATTTTCTGTCTGGGTAAATGGCACCAGCAAGTTCCTGTGCCATATACTCTTCTCCAGCAATCTGTGAGAGGGTCATTTCATAAAGCCCTCTCGTTTAGGTAACTGGGTGAATGCTGGTGCCATTCACTGTGACAAAACGCACAAGGAAGGATGCCTGGGGATGGGGACATCCTGTGGAGGTGAGTGTGCAGCTGAGGGGGCGTGGCCTGGGCTTGAAACAGATTTGGGCCCCATCAGTGAGGCCTCAGGAGTGGAGGAGCTCATTGGCGGTAAAAGTGGAGAGAGGAAAAGGATGCCAGGACAGAGCCCCAGGGAGCACCAGCCATGATGGACAGGAGCTGAGAAGCGGCTACCAGAAAGGTTGGCGGGAACCCAGCCGGGCTGGAGAGCTAGCTGTCAAACCATCCCAGCCTCTGGAACCTTACACTTCGGCAGTCTTGTTGCTCATTCCTTCTGCCTGGGGAAAACACTTCCCATCCCACCCCTTCTCAGCTACCCCTTATACCTGCCAAATTCCCATTCATCCTGCAAGTCCTAAGTGCTAGTTTTTCTATGAATCCTCCAGCCGCTCTCCACATAAGTTTGACTCTCCTTGCATAGGAAGAGTTATCTCATCAGCACTGGGCACTGTAATGGTTTGCATGTTTCCTTCCCAGTTCCTACAAACTCTGGAGGGCTAGCACTCTGTCTTTTCACTTCATAACCCTAGAGCTAGCACCCAACCACTGTGTTGAAGGAAGAGACGAGGTGAGTAGAGCCCCCAATAACACTGAAGCCCCATAGGCTTCTTTCCTGCCTGCTTTATGACTTGCACAAACCAGTCAGGGATGTCCAAGATAAAACAGTCTACACTCCTCAGGTCCTGCCTTCGAGTTCTCCTGCCTCCTGGGCTGCTGCAGCTATTCCCTATTCACACTGTGCTCAGGGCAGGAGAGCATCGGGGGTGGGCGTGGGGATGGGATGAGCCTCTCCCTCCTGGAGTTCCATTAGCCTACACGCAGTGGTTTCGAGAAGGGAGCCCCGGCACCAGCAGTATCACCATCTCCTGGGAACTGGCTAGAAATGCAAGCCCTCGGCCCCATCCTAACCCCACTGAATCAGAAACTCTGGGGGCGGGTCCAGCAATCTGTTTTAATTAGCCCTTCAGGTGATGTCAAGTTAGAGAAGCACTGGACTACAGCACGCCGGGGAGAAGCAAGTTCAGCACCTAGGCAGAGACTGCGATTAGGCCCCAAGGCGCTTAGAGTATACAGAGGAAGAGAGGCTCCTTTTAGGAGCGAGTTGGACAGGCGCCACCCCAAGCGGCAGAGGGCGGAGCCTTTTTTAGGCGACTGCTCCTGCGAGGTCAGAGCCAGGCTGTGCTGCTGCCCTAAGGGCTGGAAAGGGAAATCTTGCTAGAGGAGGAAGCCCTAAGAACTCAAGGGATGATAGGGGTGGCAGGGGCATTTCCCTGGATGCCTGGAGCATGGAGGAAAGGCTGCAAAACAAGGAGGCTTTCCTACCCCATTGATGAACTGAAGTGGATTCTGCACGGGGAAGGAAAGGGACAGGAAGCATAATTGGATGTGCAAGCCTGTGGTTCTTCAGGAAGTTAACACGTGGAACTAACACTTGGATGCTGCGGAACTCAGATGATTGACGTGACTAGCCTCCTCTGAGGTACTTGACCTCTCTCCTCTTCAGCTAATAAGTAATTTGTCCTTATTTAAGAATGAGATTTGTGTAGGGGACCTTTTGTAGAAATGTAAATACATACCGATGTCCATACCTGGGCTTAGTCTTAAAGACTGAAGGCATTGGGAGGTTTATTTGATTTCGGATATGTTATTTCTTTGGTCATGTATTGGCTAAAAATATTATCGACTAATATTTGCACAGAGCTTTCCCTTTTCAAAGCACTTCCACACACATTATCCTTCTGTCAGCACAGAGTGGTGAATACAACAAATGTGCAAATGTTAACTTGCCTTATCTACGACACAGTTTTTAGTATCATCACCATTTTACAGATAAGAGAACTGGGGCTCAGAGGGTTAATTTGTCCAAGGTCAGTCACTACTACATGGCAAAATCAGGCCTACAATCCAGAGCCTCTGAAATTAGCCCACTAAAATGCTAGAACTGATACCGGGCAGAGGCCGGCATTTTGCTCTCGGGGGAAGGGAGACTCATTAGTAGGTTGTTTGCAGACCTGCGTCGCTGAGTGTGACGTGTAGGATATCTATACTGTGTTTTTTGGTTTTTGTTTTGTTTTGGGGTTTTTGTTTTTTTGAGATGGAGTCCCACTTTGTCGTCCAGGCGGGAGTGCAGTGACACTATCTCGGCACACTGCAACCTCCACCGCCCAGGTTCAAGCGATTCTCCTGCCCCAGCCACCCGAGTAACTGAGATTACAGGCGCCTGCCACTGCGCCCGGCTAATTTTTGTAGTTTTAACAGAGATAGGGTTTCACTATCTTGGCCAGATTGGTCTCAAACTCCTGACCTTGTGATCCACCCACCTCAGCCTCCCAAAGTGCTGGGATTACAGGCATGTGCCACCACACCTGGCTACTATGTTTTTAAATAGCCCCGCAAATGTCCTCATGTTTTATAACTAGTTTTGCGACTGCATTTTGAATTTAGGTTGAATCAAATAGGCTTCATTACTTGCGAGGGGAATGCAATGGTACCCATCATAATGGAAAGAATACCAACAGGGATAAAGGCCTTGGTACCCCTGAGCCTTGGTTGATAGGGTGTATCAGTCAGGATCAGTTAGGCTGTGCTAGAGTAACAGAAAATCCCCAAATCTCAGTGGCTTAACGTAACAAAAGTGTATTTCTCAATGACAAAACATGTCCATTATGGGTCATTAGGAGCTCTGTTTCCCATAGTCACTCGGGCATCCAGGCTGCTGCAACTGGACATGCATCTTAACCCTGTAGGCAGGAAACAAGAATGGGGCAAATCTAGCTCTGGCTCTTAAAGCTTTTACCTGGAAGTGACGCACATCACTTCTGCTCTCATCTCACTGGCCAAAGAAAGTTACAAGGGGGCAGGAAAGTGCAATAAGGTCAATCCTGCTATCTGCAGGAAGGACAAACGGAAGTATTTGGTTAACAGCACTAATAACATAGGGAGTGTGTGTGCGTGCGTGTGTGTGTGTGTGTGTGTGTGTGTGTTGAATGTATATGTATATATTTGAATGCCATTTCCAGGGCATTCCTCCCTCCTGGCGACGCATATTAGAGATTCCTACTGTAAAGGATTGCCATTCCTTGCACTAGAGCAGGTTCAAAGATTTAGACTAGAGTGGAAAAAAAAATTGGAGTTAAAGGAAGCATGGTAGAAGAGGTGAGTGGCTGTGGGACAAACTCAGTAGAAACTCATTTGTAAACAGGGAAAGAAATCCAGTAAAGGAAGGTACTCAGGATATATGTGACACAAGGAGCCTGCCTGCTAAAGGAAACTTCTAAAACAGCGTAGCTTTAGCAGAGGCGTTTCCTGCCTTCTTGCCATTAACGCCCACTCATCCTTCCTGGTTAAGCTCAGGTGACACTTCAGGAAGCCTTTGATGGTCTCTTGAGATTGGGTAAGGAGCCCACCAATCACATCACAGGCTTGCCTGGGTCTGTCCCATCCCCTCAGCTGTGGACAGGGACCACATGTTATACTGGCTGCTATATAGAGAATGTATTAGAGGAGGGTGTCAGAATAGAGGCAGAGAGAGCAGCTAGAAGGCTGTTGCAGAAACCTAAGTCAGAAAACAAAATGATGGTCTGCATTAGGTTAATGGTGGTGGAGAGGCAGAGAAGCGTCAAGAAAGATTTACCAAGTCAAACCCACAGAACGAGGGCATAGGAAGGGAGGTTTCTGGAAGAACAACAGGGTAGATGGTAGTGCCAAGGAGCCCAGAGAAGGTGCATGTTGGTGAATTAGGTCAGCAAGAACACATCCCATTTGAGGTCCGTTTTGACAATCGCCACAAAGAGACCCAGCAGCAGCCCCTGTCAGAGCCTGAGATTCTGGTGGGAAAAACCAGGTCCTATGATCTGCCTCCTGATTAAACTCCAGCATTAAATCAAGGTTAGTATTTTCTTGTTTTAAAAAAATTATCAGACTGGGCTTGGTGGCTCACACCTGTAATCCCAGCACTTTGAGAGGCCAAAGCAGTCAAATCACTTTAGCTCAGGAGTTCAAAACCAGCTTGGGCAACATAGTGAGACCTCAACTTTACAAAAAAATTAGCCAGGTACAGCTGTGCACACGCCGAGGTGGGAGAATCATTTGACCCCAGGAGGTTGAGGTTTCAGTGAGCCAAAATT